ATCAACTTTGATACCTAATGCCCATCAGAGTAAGTTTCACACAAATACAAAGCAACATGCACCAAATTGAGCCAAATTTGTACAGTAACAAAGATCACATATGATGTGGAAGAAAGACAGATGAAGGTGAAAAACTCAAGGGGGAAAAAGATTAAATGGTCGAATCATCAGAATAGGAAAATAAATAAAAGAGAACAAAAAGAAAAGAGCAAAGCAATTACAAAGAGATTGGCAGCTTTGCCAACTTTACAGAAAGTGAAAGAAATGTGCATTCGAAAACCAACAACAAAAACTCAGTACGTTAATTTTAGAGCTGTCGAACGGGCTGACCCAACTTTCGCGCACTATAGAATTCAACAGCCTAACCCAGTCCTGCCATACATCTCAAAAGGACATTCAAAGTGCTAGCACACCCAGCCCAAAGCAGGCTGTGGGCTAGCCCTTCAACTTTTCTTTTAAAAATAAAATATATAAGTTTGTCAGTTGCCACCAGTAATGTTACTCAAGGTTTTTTTTTTCTTTTTTTCTTCTTCCATGGCTACAACCAAAACAAAAAGAGAATGAACAAAATAGTATAATTTTGGAAGAAGAAGTTGGTAAATGATGCTCAATGAACTTCAGAAATTCATATATGAATAGGACATGCGTTTCACCATATTCATTGGAACACATCTATCTACCACCCATTTGTAAGGAAAAAGTTCAGACACCTATTACCTAATTGAAAGGAAAAAGTTCAGATACCTACCACCTATTTGAAAAGAAAGCCAAATTGTATAAAACTTTTTAATTTTGCATATCAGTGAAAATTTTCTAAGAATGTTGAGTACACATTCAATAGCACAAATGAGTTAAAATTTCGCTTACATCTTAAATTCGATTAAATCAATACATTAACATATAAGTTGACCGAATTGGCAAATTCTTTTTTAAAATATTTTGCCTTAAGAGACAACCTAGTCTAGCCCTTGAGGCCAGCGAGCCAATTGGAGCTGGGCTAAGAAGCTCAGTTTTAAATGGGCTAAAAATATCGTAGCCCAACCCCACCCAACTAATGGGTTGGGTTGGGCCGACCTCACAAGCCAAGCCCATTAAAAATGGCTCTACTCCGATGTATAACAAAATAAAAGCTTTCCTTATCTTGCATGAGAAGGCGAAAAGAAGATGAAGAACAGAAAAAGGATAGAATTTAGCAATCCTACTAGTGACCTTTTGCGCATGCGGCTCTACAACAAAAATCTTCTACCCCCTTTATAACATTGCTGAAAGAAAAATATACTCTATAACACTCAAATAGATAAATGATCAAATTTCCATCCTTCATCTGGCAGGAGCTAAACAAAATACTATGACGGCTTCATCGCTTAATTTATCAATTTTCATTTTTTTAATTTTCAGCAACCTCAAAGTTCCTTTTTAATTCGACCAAATAATAAAATATCCTTTTTCTTACTTTTTCAAAACATAAAAGATATAAACCACAACCATAATTAAGGCAGAAGACGAGGCATCAAAGAAATAGGAAAAGAAGTATCAAGAACAAAAACCTCGCAAGCCTCCAGCTTGGATTCCATTCCATCAATAAAAGCTTCACAACGAGCAACCTGCTCCTCCTTTTCACGTTTCTCCCCTTCCGTTTGCCCAACTGTTTGAGTCAACCGGCGTACTTCATCCTCAAGTGACTTTCGTAATTCTTCTCTGGTCACTTTCTCTGTGGCATAACGTTTCAGTTCCTCATCAAATCTTTTCCGTGCAGCTTCAGCATTCTTTAACCTTTCTGCAAGAGTATTTTTCTCCTTCATCACTCTCTGCAAGATTGATAGTTTACAGTCAGGGAAAGAGAAAAACATGTAATATGTGAATCCATTTAGGGAACCCCAAAGAAAACAGAAGGAAATCAAACACATAACAAATTTAACAAAGAGGAATTTCCATCTGCAACAATTACAAGCAGAGACCGTCAAAAGTTTTTAAATATTTGCAATTCCAAAAGAAAAAGATCGAACCATTCAGCAGTTCCAGAAAAGTGACTCGGGGCACTCCCTAAAAGCTTCTATAAGAAGAATAATTTATTTGGTTGCACAAAGCATACTCCTTTGTCTCAAATTATTTGGTTGCCTAGTTATGGAGTCCAAGAAAAAGAAAACATACGGCAAATATGGATATTACACCAAAAGAACCTTTGACAAATGTTGCACTCAAGGGTGTGGCCTATACATTGGAAACCAGGGTTCAAAAACCAGCAAAGAAGAAAAAGAGTAAGTGATTTCTTTCCAATTTGCCTAAACCTAGGAGGGCAGAGTTACTTAGTACCTATGCTGGTAGGAGGTAGCAAGTACCCGGTGGTATAGTCGAGGTGCATGCAAACTGGCACGGACACCACCGTTATTTTTGAAGGGGGGAAAATGAACCCTGGTAAAATTTTGTTTTTTGTGTCCAGTGGGCCCTACAACAAGTTATATTACAGCAGATGGGATTAGAAAGACTAATTAGCATCTACATATTAAAAGGAGTTGATCCTTTTGGGAATGACATTAAAGGCCTGAACGAAATAATATAATATACATAGTGGCAGACAACGCTGATATTATCATTTGATTGAACATGAAAGATTACTGGCTTAATAACCAGTTGATTTGTATTATCTGATTATGATCATGTGGGATCAAATTAGATCAGATAAGAAGTTTCAGATTCTTAGGGATTAGATTCAGATTAGAATTCTCTTAATTCTGGACAATCTAGAATCAAGGGATTATTTCCCTTTTTATTGATTTGTTTTCTCCTATAAATGTATAGTCTTTGAATGAATGATACTATTCTGATATCAAAACTTTCATTAACTATCTGTATATAAAGCTACGAGATCAAAAGAGCACCCTAATCAAGATTGACAAACCTAATAAGAACACCACATGGTCTGATTCATAGTCAACCTAAGGAACTGGCAAGAGTTGAAACTGATTCTACTTGGGTAAGTTGCACCAAAAGGCACTTTAAGAAACACGAAGCATTGGACCCCATTTTTAATTAAATTGACATTTGTAAATAAAAATATGGTGATATGACACTAGGAATATCAATCTTCAAAGAAATTCTACCTTTTAAGGAAATATAGATTCGTTTAATTAAATGACCGGAAATCACGGCTAAATTGGTAAATGATCAACAGGCAAAATAAGAGCTTTCAACAGAGAAAGAAAAAAGTAAAACCAGGAAGCGAAAAAATAAAAGAGAAGAAATGTCAAAGAACTAAGGGTCATAAAGGTTTGAAAGCTACTTAACAAACTTAAGATTAAATGTAAACAACAATACTTGCCAATTAATGATGAAATGCAGAATGTAAACAACAATACATGCCAATTAATGATGGAATGCAGACCTTTAATTCATCACGTTTCCGTGATTTCAGGTGGGAAAGTTGTGCCTCGGCATCATGCAAATGATCTTGAAGAGCTCTTTTTTCTGCAGTGAGCTTAGCAATTTTATCATCCCGTTCAGATCGTAGCCATTCATTTTGACTCTCAACTTCTTGTATCTGTTCTGCGAGTTCCTTTCTTTCCCGAGAAAACCGATCCATCTCAGCCCTCATTTCAGACTGATTTTTCAAGGTTTTGTCAAATCAAAATTCACCAGAAAGAGAATGAGATATTCTTTCAAGCAAACATATCCTAAAATATAAATAATAATGACCAAGATACCTTGAGACGATTATTAGTAGCCTCCGATTCGTTAAGCTTTTGGGACATGATAGCTATTTCTTTAGCTATACTGGTATTTTCAGCTTTCCTTTCCTCGCGAATGCGTATAATTTCATCTTCACTAGCACATAATTGATGCCAAAGTGTGGCACGATCAACATTGGCTAGTTCAGCAACCTCCCTCATCATGCTTAGGACTAGTCTAACAATTTCCTGCTCCTCACATATCAAGGTTACCAATATCTCCAAATCTAGATCTACTTCACGCGCACTTTCCGTTGAACTGGTAGCACGATCAACAAGCCTCTTGAGTATCCTCAATCGATAAGACTCATCTGCATACCACTTGAACAATATTGTGTAAAGCAACTTTACAAAACCTCTTACACGTGGATCTCTAGAGAGTGCCAATGTCTCAGCAAGACCAAAAATTGAAGTAAAATCATCTTGCTGGGCTGTCAATTGCTCAATGGTTTCCCCTTCCACAACCACGTCAGTGTGCGGAAAATTTTCAACATATTGAGAGGTCATATGTAATCTCCGAGCAAAACGTCTTTCCAAGACCATGGCTACAGACTGAGCCACAATGGCCCCTCGAGCTACAGCTCTCTCAAATGTTTGGGAAGCTTCAACGGCAAGACATGGAATTGATAACATGTCAATAAGTATATAAATATCAGAAAAATGATGAGTACAAAGGAAAGCTTGCTCATCTACTTCAGGCGGTCTTTCTGAAGTATGACAACTTTCACCAAATA